AGTAGGGCCTGACCTTACCTGACCTAGTCACTACTTTACCGAGGTTAGGCTTGGCACTTATTGGGTACCGATGTGGTGTACTTATACTACACTTCTGCACATCTTTTTGTGCAGATTCAGGTACATCTTACCAGTCCAGATATCAGTGAACTACCGATGTACGGAGACTTCGAGGTATATCTGCCAGCGTCCGCAAACTCCGGAGTTGTCACGACCCAAAATCCATTAAGGTCGTGATGGCGCCGGACACCACTGTCAGGCGAGTCAACAATATATACTAAATTGGGTTCTCATTTCTTTTTAATTATTTTTGAAATCATATTTTCCTTCTGTTTAAATAGTAAAGAATGGGATTTACAGAGTAAATAATAATACTTTTAATAAATTCAATAAAGGACAACTCATAACCACTCACAAAATTCGGTGTCACAGGTGCATGAGCATTTACTAGAGAGTTAAAATAAAATACAACATCTGTCCGGAATACAAATTAGATAGGAAAAAAAATATAAATAACTCTGAAGGAGACTCTGTTGGCTGCGGCTCGTAATATAGGATGCAACTCACCTAAGTCCCCGCATTTTTAACCACACCTCTGTGCCCACAAGGCCACTAGACATATCTGTACCTGCACAATAAAAATGTGCAGCAAGTGTAGTATGAGTACCTAAGCAACGTGTACCCAGTAAGTATCAAGCCTAACCTCAAAGAGGTAGTGACGAGAGGTCGACTTTGACACTCACTAAGGGTCAATGATGATAATAATAATAATAATAATAATAATAATAATAAAATAACAATAACAATATTTAACTCGATATGATTTATAGAATCAACAATAATTTTCTTTAACCAGTAGAAATAATTAAATTCCTTCAAATGCGATAATTTTTAATTTATTAATTAACTTCACTGCAATAAAATATCAAAGTATCGTATAATTTTTTTATTATTAGGCACGATATCTATCGAGGTCATACGGCCCGATCCAGAGTGTCGTGTACACTGCCGAGGGACGTGCGGCACGATCTATAGATGCATCTATACTGCCGAGGCTTTCGGCCCGCTCCACAAGAAAGGAAGGCATTTTCTTATGTACCTCTGGAATGAGAGTATATTTATTAAAAGATTAATACAAGAGGACGCATAATTCTTTTAACAATTAATTAATTTATACAGAAAATTAAGTATATAAGATTTTCATCTTCTACTATATTTTCCTAACAATTCACAATATTGTTCAAATAATTAATTAATCAATGGATACAATTTACACACGTAATTCATGATTTGATTCCTAAACTACCCGAACTTTAGCATAAATAGTATCTACGCACGGACTCTCGTCACCTCGTGCGTACGTATCCCCCATAATTAGCAACAATTATTAATTTAGTCACCTATGGGGTAAATTCCCCATTACAATGTTAGACAAGAGACTTACCTCGTCTCAAAGTCCACTTCCTGATCAAAATATCGTGTAAAAACCTCAATTTGATGCCGAAAAATTCGAAACTATCCAAAAGTTATATAAAATAATTAATACATGCTCAATAATTTGAAATTAGACTATTAAATAAATTACCTTATCCAAAATGATACAATTCTTAAAATTCACCCCGGACCCACATGCACGGATTCCGAAAATTTTCGGAGAAAAACGTTACTCATAATCTCAAGAACTCAAATAGACAATTTCTATCCAATTCCATAACCATTTTCGTGGCTAAAATCTCCTTTTTATAAAAATCTAGGTTTTTCATCTAAACCCTTGATTTCCAAGATTTACCGGTTATAATCTACTCATAATCTATGAATTTAACTCAAAGTGTGAAGTACTAACTTACATTCAAGTTGCTAGTTGAAATCCCCTCTCAAAATGCTCCACAATCGCCCAAAACATGAAGAAAATGGGCTAAACATACGCAACTCCGGACTTAAATGAAGGTTCTGCCTTCTGCGATTTTCGTACCTACAGAGTTACAATCGAACCTGCGGTTCTGCACCTACGGACAATTCCTCGCAGGTGCGCATTTCTCCCTTTTGGCCTGGCACCGTACCTGCGGAAAATGGCTCGCTTCTGCGCAAACGCAAGTGCGCCCATCCCTTCGCACCTACGCATCCATCCGCTTCTGCGCGCCAATCCTTCGCACGTGCGCGTTCGCACGTGCGCCAAAATACTCCGCATTTGCGGTTGCTGGCCAGCTCCTCTCCTTCGCACCTGCGAGCTCGCACTTGCGGCTGCCCATGCATAGGTGCGATCATACCAGAAGCTGGAAAGCTTCAGCTCTTCCTCCAAATTCCAAAATTTGGTCTGAGGCTCGTCCGATTAACACTCGGGGCCCCGCCCGAATATACCAACAAGTTTGAAATTATAAAACGGACTCGCTCGAACTCCCGAAACGTGTAAAACAATATCAAAACTAAGAATCATACCCCAAACCAAATAGATTCAACTTAAAAAATTTAAATTCTTCAAATTTACTCCGAACGCGCCGGAATATACTTATAATACACGGAATGACACTAAATTTTGCGTGCAAGTCTTAAATCACCATACGGACCTACTCCAACTTTTGGAATCAGATTCCGAACCCGATATTAAAAAGTCCACTCTCGGTCAAACTTCTTAAAAACCTTCAAATTTCTAACTTTCGCCAAATGACTCTGAAATGACCTATGGACCTCCAAATTAAAATTCGGACGCGCTCCTAAGACCAAAATCACGATACGGAGCTATTCCCAGGCTCGAAATTTCAAACGGGCCTCGATTATTCCAAAACCTACTCCAAACCAAATTTAAAGAATATTAAACCTTCAAATAGTTGAGTTTTACTATTAATCGCCAAAACGCTCCCGGGTTGTTAAAAACACGATTCAAACATATGCTCAAATCCAAAATCATCATACGAACCTATTGGAACCGTCAAATCCCGATTTCGGGGTCGTTTACTCAAAATATTGACCGAAGTCAAACTTGGCCTTTTAAAGCCAAACTAAGGAACCAATTGTTCCGATTTCAACTCGACCACTTTCAAATTCCGAACCAACCATCTCCGCAAGTCATAAATTAATAAAAGTACATACAGGGAGTTTTATTTAGGGAAACAGGGCTCTAACAGTCAAAACGGCCGGTTGGGTCGTTACAGGAGTCCCCTTCTATCATTATTATGTTGTTTCCTTATTTTCCTTAGACTCTGATATATAGATACATTGAGGATAAATTCTTAGAAGCTTGTGGCTTATTTCTACCGGGTTTTGGGAGTTGTAATTATTTGAATTGCAATTCATTTGTTTTAGATTTCTATTGTTATTTCCGCATTGATAGGCTTACCTAGTCTTAGACACTAGGTGTCATCACGACATTCTACGGAGGGAATTTGGGGTCATGACAACCATATTCGAGTTTTTTTTTCGGTTTGACTCAGATTATTGGCTTGGTGCGGTTTCATTGTACTGAAAACTGTCATAAGTTACCAAAAAAAAAAAAAA